CTTTAAATCTTGCAGATTTTAAGCACCTCAACCAGGAGTGGAAATAGTAAAAATGTTTATAGAACAATTATCTATTATGATTTCTTATAAAATATGAGATGTATTCACCCTATTTGGTTTAAGGTGATGAAGGAATGGTAGCAGAATTTTCCCACAATGATATAAGTAGAGCTGATGTTTCCATTAAATTTTGCAACAACTTTTGGGAAAGCAAGTCTAAGTAAAATTTAATGGAAACATCCGCTCTACTCATATCATTGTGGGAAAATTCTACCACCAGTCCTTCATCACCTTAAACGAAATAGGGTAAATACATATCATATTACTGATTTACTGGTAGTCTCGAAACTCTACTTACATACGAAAAATACTTATAAAATATTTGATAATATGAAAAAATCTGATAGAGGGAAACAGGTATTTATAGCAAAACAAAGAGTATTAAGATTTTTCACAGAAAAGGGAATTAGTGAGGCAATGGGACGTCAGGATGCTGCAGAAAGAGAAACTAACACTTCAGTCATGACACTTTTTTAACGAATCTTCCATTCTCTCCAGATAAGTTTGTTACAAAGCTCTGTGGCGTCTTCGTAGAGGAGAGCTATTGACTAATACACAAGAGGCTATTTGAACACAGTACACGTCCTTCAGAAATCGGAGGTGATTAGACATACGATGAACATAGAACACGAAATAGTGGTCTAGGACCTTTTGTTGGAATACAAATCCCAACATTTTTTCGGTGGTGAAGAGTTGACGACTGAGTGGAGGATTTGAGTCAATAAAAATTAAAAAACAGTAAGCATCCTGATAAGGAGAAACCAGCGCAGGAAATTGGGCATGAAGTATCTTCCTCTATTAGAGAAGAGTTAAGGAGAGGAAGAGGTAACAGGACGAACCACTGAGTAAGAGGTTTGACTAATCGGGAATCTGGTTTTGGATCCAACATTTTAACTGATTCATAAGCATTATATTCGAGCAACGCACATAATCCTCCGATTTCCGGTGAGGCTAATTTACGAATCCCTTTCACTCACCTTTAGATTGTTCAATTCTCATCTCAAGCTTTACTGTATGTTACCTAGACCATCAAATTCTAAAGTTTGGAACCGTAACAGATACAGGCGATATATTGCACTCTTCTTTCTTGCAATAATGGCATAAATGG